TGGGGTTTTCTTGGCAAGATTAGTTCAGAAGATTAGCTATCAACTTCCCCTGAGGCTGAGAGTATGTGATTTGCCCAAGGTCACCCAGTGAGTTTCATGGCCAAGCTGGGAATTGAACCCTGGTCAACAAGAGTCATAGTCCAGCACTCAAACCACTATGCCACGCTGGCTTCCTTGGACAGTATGAGATACATAAAGACACATCCCTGGGTTTATACACTTAAATATTGGAAAAGAAAGAAAACCTTGTATGGTGCCATGTAGATGAAGGACATAGAGCCACGTAGATGAAGGGGTGAAGCCATGTAGATAAGGGCAGACATTGTATTGATTTGGTTCCATTGAACTCTCTGGGAGGAAACCAGAGACAGAGTTGAGAGAGAGCAAATCTGCTGCCCGACGCTTGGCTCAACAGGGGCAAGGAGCATACTTGATCTCTGTCTGCTATCTCATCCTTTTCAAAAGAAGAACTCAAGAGATGAACTTGGGGAAGAACATAGAGAAGGTCCTAGGCTTGAACCTAGGACCTTCTCTATGCTAAGACATGTGTTCTACCATTGAAACTATGAGGAATCATCTCTATTAAGTTTGATCTAAACCCGAGCTGCTTGCTCCTACCTAGTCAACAGAATAGCATTTCATAATTCCTGAATCTTGAACCTTGTGGTCCATCTTCTTAAACTTCCATTTGATGACCCAGGTATTAAGCTGAGGATTTGGGTGTAGTGGCTTCACTTCAAAAGTTGATTCTCAAAAAGGAATATAGGTCCTGTATTAGTACTGAATATTGTTGTCCCTTAGGCTACACCTGCCAAGAGCTCCCCAAAATACCTCCATTGTCCCCTGCATCCCAGCCAAAATGGGACCCAGAAATACCATTGTGTCACGTTGGGTGATTTTTGGCTGCAAAGAATGCCAGAAAGCTGCAAGGAATTATTTGGAAGCTTTGCCGAACACAAGCACAGACCCAGGGGCCAGATGTGCCCTTGCTTTGCCCACCCTGGTTTTAAATAGATTAGGTAAAGGTAAAGGTATGCCCCATTGACAAGGCTGTCAGGTTGTGTCCGACCGTAGGAGTGGTGCTCATGTGAAGTCGTAGGCTTTCATGCCGACATCCATAGTTTTTTGTGGGTTTCTCAGGCTGTGTGGCCATGTTCTAGAAGAGTTTCTTTTTGACGTTTTGCCAGCATCTGTGGCTAGCATCTTCAGAGAAAGTGGTGCTCATCTCCGTCACTAAGCCAAAGAGCCAGTGTTGTCAGAGACTACTCTGTGATCGTGTGGCCCGCATGATTGCACAGAACGCTGTTTACCTTCCCACCAAAGTGCTACCTATTTGCCTACTTGCATTTGTATGCTTTTGAACTGCTAGGTTGGCAGAAGCTGGGACTAGTGATGGGAGATCATCACATCATGCAGCACCTGGGCCTCGAACGGCCAACCTGCCGATCTTGCAATCAACAGAGTCAGTGTCTTAACCGCTTTGCACCAAGACACATCCATTTTTCAAAACCAGAAGCTGACTTCTAGTCACTTCTTTTTTATTTTTGTTTTTGCATTTTGTGTGGGGGGGCAGTGAACACAGCCCCCCAGAGCAAAAATATCCCCCACCCCCCCCCGGACCCTCGCAGTGGTCCATCTCTTCACTACAAGGTCTTTCCCGTCCCACGAGTGCAGAATATTTGGCTTTGGTGTTGTCAACTGTGGTCTTTCTTTTTCAGTGAATTTCCACAGCACAGGCTTGCCAGCTTTTTAAAGTCTTCCGCTTCCTGCTTGGCAAAGGCTGGCATTCCTGAAGACCTTAGCAAACTGTGCAAGTGGTTAGTCCCACCCTAATCCTCGGTAGATAATTGATCACATCAGCAGCCCGCGCTCGACAATCTCTGCCACAAATGGCAGCCAAGAGGCTTCTCATGGGAGTTCCAGATGTGGCACGGCCAGGGAAGGGCAAGCTGGAGGGCATTGGCGTAGCCGCGTGGCAAGAGGCGCCTGCCGGGTGTCTCCATCCCCAGCCCACGTCTTCCAGGGCTTTTGTCCAAGGACACAAAGCTGACTCGGAGGCATGTTCATTGCAGTCAAGAGGAATCTTAAGAGACATCTGCGTGGGCAAGGAACAATAGCAAGGAGAGGTGCAGGAAGAAATGCAAAGCCAGCCGTGCAGGTTGGCACACCGTTCACAAAGGATGAAGACATTGCAGAGGCAGGCCTGTGGAGTGTGCTTCTGCACACCCGCCTTGCAAAAAACGGTTTGCACTGTGCACAGAAAAATGCTTCCTTCAATCCCTCCTATCTGCATTTGGAAGAGAGCAATATTTCAGCCCTTTGGCAAAACATTTCCCTGTTGTATAGAATTCAGTTCAGTAGAATCATAGACTCAACCTTTATTATTAGTTTTTGATAAAATCGTTGGTGAAACATAGTAAACTACTCTTCCTTTTTGTGCTGAAAGAACTTACAGGTTGAGTCTCCCTTGTCTGAAGTGCTTGGGTCCAAGACTGTTTTGGATTTTGGGGTGTTGGATTTTTTTTTAAATTAAATACCTGTGTTTGTGTATATGTACATTATGAGATACCTTGGAGCTGGTTCCCAAGTCTAAACGCAAAATTCATTAATGTTTCATAAGCACCTTATAAGCATAGCCTTAAGGTAATATTGAAGAATATTTTTAATAGCTTTATGCATGAAACAAAGTTTGTGTGGACTGAACCATCAGAAAGCAAAGATGTCACTATCTTAAGCATCCATGAAAAATGTTTTAGTTTTTAGGCTATTTGGGATTTCAGAATTCCAGATAAGGGAGACTCAACTGTATTCCCATTCAGTCCATGTTACCTCTGCCTCTGGTGCCAAATTTTCTGTTAAGTAATATATCTAGTTTTTAAACTGGGGTGCACCTGTGTAACAGAAAACTTGTTTGGATGCTTTCGATGTCTTGTGTAGTTGTGTCCATCCAAGTTGTTTTACTGGTTTTTAGCTTTCTTGCCAAAGGGTAGTCAAATCATCATACAAACAATGTAATAACAATAGATGCATCCAGCCTATTTTATATTCTCCACAATGCCTAAGAGCCAGGCAAAGTCAAGACAGAGTATCGCTATGAGGGGGAGTAAAATGAGACCATTGCCCCCCGTAAAAGTTCTGAACCCCCCCCTCCTGAAATGCTCATTCAATGTCCAAATTTCTAACATTACAGAAATAAAAAAATTCAGTTCCATGTAGAAATACAGTTTACATGTTCAAAGGAAAGGAGCAGGGAAGGAACTGCAAACACAGCAGATGGAAGGACTCTAGGTGAATAATTTTCAGTTTCTCCCTCTCTGAAATGCTAGAAATTTGGGGACTAAAGGAAAATTTCATCTGGGGGCAGAATTTTTATTTGGCGAGAAATACTCTAATTCCTCATGCCCTGCATCTACATATATTCTGAATGTTGCATTGTGACATGTGCAACCAAAATTAATCCTCTGCTGTCCCACTTTTTCAGCTGCTTTTTAAAATGTCCCAGTTTTCCCCCTCTTCTTCGTCTTCAGCTTCAGTTGCTGCAAACAGCTCAAGGTACAAACGTAGTTTGTACTCAGTTTATTGATCAGGGTGAAGGGGAGAAGAGAGGAAGAAATGAAATCTTGCCCTTTCAAATAAGCTAAGCAAAAAGCAAACTGCTGCAGCCTCTCCTAACCTTGTATGTTCTTCCTTATCAATAAACTTTCACTAACTTGACCACACTCTGATGCTGCTTGGCCACACCTGTCCCAGCTTTCAACTGCAATGTTGGAGAATGTGTTGCTCTAACCCTTGTGTCAAGTGCATTGTGGGTGATTACAAAAGATGACAAAACCCAGCTGCCTGGCACTGCTGGGAATGGGGAATTAATGCACACCCAGGGTTGGTCTTGGCAGTGGCCTCCCAAAGGGCACTGTGGCCTTGGAGGCACTCCAGAGCTGCCAGGTGCAGCCTGCCCAGCTGTCTTCAGCTGCCGATAAGAATGAAGTGGGAGGTAGCCAAGTAGATTTCTTTTGGCCCATTGAGAAGACGACACTTTCCAGAATCAACCATAGACATAGCATAGACCAGGGGTAGGCAACCTTTTTGAGCCGGGGGCCAGGTTGCTGTCCCTCAGACAATTTGGGGGCCGAAGCACCAAAAATAAATAAATAAATAAATATTTTTTAAATTTAAAAATTTAAAAAATTTAAAAATATATGCATGCACACTCTGTCAGCCCCAGAAAAGCCATGGCAAAACCCCTGTGGAGATTTTGCCAAGAAAACCCCAAGAACAAGTAATAGCAACAATAATCAATATCATCATGGCAGGCGGGGGGGGGGGGGGGGGGGGCGGCGGCGGCGGCAGGACCGGCTTGGGGCCGGTCCAAAGGCCTCAGTGGGCCGCATCCGGCCCCCGGGCCTTGGGTTGCCTACCCCTGGCATAGACAGTGGGAATTGGAGTCTGAGCCTGGAGGGAGCTTAGGTTGGGGATGGGCAGCACAGACAGATCCTAGATCCAGCTGTGTACAGCCAGCCCTCCATATCCACGGATTCTTTTTATCCACAGATTCAAGCATCCTCGGCTTGAAAATATTTTTAAAAGATATAAATTCCAAAAAGCAAACCTTGATTTTGCTATTTTATATAAGGGACACCATTTTACTATCCCATTGCATTTAATGGGATTTGAGCACCCACGGATTTTGGTGTCCATGGGGGGTCCTGGAACAAGACTCCAGTGGATACCAAAGGCTCACTGTACATAGAAAGCTGCCATGCCAGGAGAGCCTTGTTTGTCCAGTCCATATAAATATTCTGACTGTCAAAAGCCAGGGCACATCCCTGGAATCTTCTGCAGACCAAAAACTTTTGTTGTTGTGTGCCTTCAAGTCATTTCCAACTTATGGAGACCCCAAGGCAAACCTATCACAGGGTTTTCTTGACAAGATTGGTTCAGAAGGAGTTTGCTTCTTCCTTCTTCTGAGGCTGAGAGAGTGTGGCTTGGCCAAGGTCAGCCAGTGACAAAGCAGGGATTTGAACCCTTGTCTCCAGAGTCCTATCCAGTGCTCAAATCACTAAACCACGCTGGCTCTTGATGAAGCATATTTCGTATAAAAGGAAGAAAACACTCATCCTGTTGGATTTGGTGGTAGATTTGGAGTTTCTTTGCAAAGGGCTGGGGAGTGTTTTCATACCTAAGGTTCAATATGCAAAGGGATCTTGCTGCGCTTTTGAGAAGAACTGGGAGAAAGAAGTTGGTAGCATGAGCTTTCATAGACTTGAGTCTCCTTCGTCAATGTCATCTTCTAAAATCAAGATGAACCCTAGTTTGTTTTGTCACTTTTCGCGGGCCATTTTCACCAAGTGCGAGGTTTGGAGACTGGCGTATTAAGTCCTCTGAATTGAAAGCCGCAGGTGTGAGGAAGGCTGGGCGCCATGCCAGGGCAAATACAACGTACCTCTGCCCTTGATAATTACAGGCGGGAGTCAGAACTGACTTGTACTTCTGTCTTCTTTATTATTTTATTTTAACAAGACGCTCCAAAGACCCTAAACTACCTGAGACCTAGCTTAAGATGCTGAATTAAAAAACTAGGGGGAGAAGGAGGTGTGGTGGGCCATAGGATGGGAAAGAAGTTAAACAGTGTGTATGTATTTATATGTGTGTGGATCCCATTGTGGGAGAAAGGCGGGATATAAATCTTTGAAATAAATTAAAATAAAATCATCATGGAGGCATAGAAAGACTGGTTTATTTCTTTATTCCTCTTTGTTCCACTGATGCCTTCTCTTTCCTCTAGTGAGTTTACTGTAGTATACATTAATGAAATCATAGAATAGAATCCTACAGTTGGAAGAGACCCCAAGGGCCAGCCAGTCCAACCCCATTTTGCCATGCAGGAATACACAATCGAAGCATTCCCAAGAGATGGCCATCCAGCCTCTGTTGAAAAACCTCCAAAGAAGGAAAGTCTTCCACTTCTCCAAGGGAGTGTGTTCCACTGTCGAACAGCTCTTACTGTCTGGAAATTCTTCCTAATGTTGAGGTGGAATCTCTTTTCCTATAATTTGGATCCGTCGCTCCATGTCCTTGTCTCTGGAGCAGCAGAAAAGAAGCTTGCATCTTCAAAATGACACCCTTTCAGATATTTAAACATGGTTATCATGTCCCCTCTAGTCTTAACCTTCTCTTCTCCAGGCTAAACATATCCAGCTCCTTATGTCACTCCTCATATGGCATGGTTTCCAGACCTTTCACCATTTTGGTTTCCCTCCATACTTCTCGCACTCTGGTCCTCCACATTTTGGAACTTGAAGTCCCAGAATTGCTCATGAGCTTTGGCCATAATGTCAAGGAGCTCTGGTAGTAGCAGGCCATAATTTGAGAACTTCTGGTGTACATGGCTCCCCTGTTCTTGTTGTGTTCCTTCAAGTCATTTCAGTCTTGTGACAACTCTAAGGTAACTCTAACATGGGTTTTTCTTGGCAAGATTTTTTCACCAGGGGTTTGCCATGGCCGTCCTCTTAGGCTGAGAGGGTGTGACTTGTCCAAGGTCTCCCAGTGGGTTTCCATGATCAAGCAGGGATTCAAACCCTGGTCTTCCACGTCAGGCTGAAATAAAGCAACTGATCCAAGGGCTGCCTTCACATTGCAGAAATAATCCAGTTTGACACCAGTTTAACTGGCATGCCTCAGTGTTGTGAAATTCTGAGAATTGTAGTTTGTTGTGCCACCAGAGCTCTTGACAGAGACATCTAAATATCTCACAAAACTACAGTTCCCAGAATTCCATAGCATTGAGCCATGGCAGTTAAAATGGTGAGTTCCAAAGATCAAGGATGATGATGATGATGATGATGATGATGATGATGATGATGATGATCCAAAGAGTGGATGATTATCCACTCTTATCCAAAGAGGCTCTTTCCTTAAACTAGATTACCTGTCCTAATGTGTTGTCTTCTGAATTTATACATATTTCCCTTTTATATTTTCCACACAAATTTATTTTATTTTATGTATTTATAAATATTCATTTCAATCATTCATTTCCATCCCGCTTTGCTCCCAACAATGGGACCCAAGGCGTTTTATGGCATATCATCTGTAATCCATAGGTTTCTTAACACTGTTGTCTAACCATGCTGGCAACTACTTGCACATAGTAGTACTTCACTGATTATTGCTATAACTTCTAGCTAACCTTCCGTTGGTATAATTTTGAGTAATCCTCTAACATGAAAACCATGGGGAGGGATTTTTGCAGGTCTGAAGGAACTGAAAATTACTGTCATAAACCATCCTTGTAATATGGAAAGCCAAAACTATATAGCAGGAGAAACATAACTGAGTCATTATTCTTGCCCAGGCACTGCAAGCAGCATTCTGTAGATAGCATTTTTAGCAGAATGCTATGAGATTTCCAGTTTTGATCTGACTGTGGTTTGTGCACTAATAATTAAACTTGATGACTATATGAATGAAATTGTCACTTGGTGGGAAATAATGGGATT